TTCGGAAAAGTGGTTGCAAATGATGGAAATGGAACGGGTTCCAGGGCCGTTACTTCTGCTTCATCGGAGGACGCTTTTCGGAGAGGAGAAAATTTCAGAAATGACGGAGAGAACCAAAGGCTGACTTGAATTTTTTCTCGACTCTACAGCGCTCGTGTCCGGCGAGAAGACGAACTTCCAGTACATCTTGCGTCTGCTCAACACCAATGTTGACGGCAAGCAGAAGATCATGTACGCCTTGACCCAGATCAAGGGTGTCGGCCGCCGTTACTCCAACTTGGTTTGCAAGAAGGCCGATGTTGATCTGAGCAAGCGGTACGTTCAATCTTTTTCATTTTTTTACGGCATCTACAAATCGGTGATGTTGGTGTGGAGACAACGAGAAGAGTGGAAGATGGATTTGAAAGAATTTCACCACTACGATAGCAGCAGAAGCTGACTTGAATCACAGCGCTGGTGAGCTCACCACCGAAGAACTCGAGCGTGTCGTCACCATCCTCCAGAACCCCACCCAGTACAAGATCCCCAGCTGGTTCCTCAACAGACAGCGCGACATCACCGATGGCAAGGACTCCCAGGTTCTGTCCAACGGTCTGGACAGCAAGCTCCGTGAGGATCTTGAGCGCCTGAAGAAGATCCGCTCCCACCGTGGTCTGCGTCACTACTGGGGTCTCCGTGTCCGTGGTCAGCACACCAAGACTACCGGCCGCCGTGGACGCACCGTCGGTGTCAGCAAGAAGAAGGGCTAAACCATTACGGATATCTTTTTTGTTTCCGGCTGGAGTGGATTTGGTGGGACTATGTTGGTGTGTGTTTACGAATCCTCGTGGGACCCTGGACTTGATCTGGTGTTGATATAAAAACGACACGGGCCCCAACAAAAGCGAAAGAAATCATACCAATATGAAATGAACAGATCAAAATCACTCCCTTTCCTTTTGCGTTATGATTCTCGGCATAGCTGGTATTCTATGGACCTACCTCGACGTGGTAATGATTTCGCCGTACCGTTCCATTGTACTCTGTAATTCCTTGAGTAGGCGTTGGTCACCCAAAGCGGGATTCACATACTTAAAAAGGTAAATCTCTACCGGGTCCGATGAAAGCTGCCATCTTTCTATAAAGTAAAGTATATATATATCGCCTTATCAACTGAGCCATACAATCCTGAGCATCATTCGTTTATAGTAGTTGGGTTATATAAATATCCGCAAAGACTAACACTATCCAAAAAAGACTGCGATGTAATCAAAAAGCCAGCATGTATTCAGTCTAGCAACGACAAACATTCTCTAGAACCATTCACCTCCAAGCCAGCGGTTGAAGAATTCAAGGCTGGCCTCGGGCTGGTCCATGGGCACCATGTGTCCAGCACCGTAGAGACGCATGAAGGTGAAGTTGCCGTGAGACTTGATCTGGCCAATCTTCTTACCCTTGTGTTCATTCTCCTCGATGACCAGATCCTCCAATTCAAGAGATGCGTACTCCTTCTGTCCAGGCCACTCGAGAGCCTCGGTCCAGGCCTTGTTACCAAGCCAGTTGCAGATGAAGTCCGCGTCACCGGCGTAGATCAGGACGGGAATCTGCTCAAGGAGGCCAGGGACCAGGCGGTGGTAGGGCTTCATCCAGTCACCGTGGAAGAGGAAGTTGCGGTTGATGTCAAAGTTGCAAGAATCGTAGCCATCAACCTCGGCACCAACAGCTTCACGGACCTCACGCTTGTTCAGGTACTCGCTAACATAGCCCAAACCCTTGTAGCACAGGTTACCCGAGTCCTCACACTTGCCACGAATATCGTAGACGTTCTGGCCAGTCCTCTGGTAAGGACCGAGGAGGGCGTTGTTGCAGTAGATCGAAGCAGGGACGCAAATCCAGGAACTCTCTGTGTTGTAGCAAGACTCGATCATCGACTTGCAACGAGGCAGAGCGTTATCCATCGACTGGCAGCTGGCTTCATCCAGAACAGCAGGGTAACCACCCTCACCGCAAGCCATGGGGCGGTAGTAGTCATACTGAGTCAAACCATCGGTGAGACCATTGCCGATGAGGACGGACTTCAGGTTGATGTTGCGCTTCTTGTGAGAGAGAATCTCAGAGGCAAATACCGGGATGTAGTGGCCAGCGTACGACTCTCCAGCAATGTGGAAGTCCTGCTTGGCATATTCAGGGAATTGCTTGAAGAAGAGGGTAAGGAGGGCGTAGACATCCTTGCCTGCGGCAACGGTGTCGCTAACGGCGGCGCCACTGTAAGAATAGCCGACATTGACGGGCTGGTCAAGGAAGATGACAGAAGCATTGGAGTTCCAAGCAAAGTCATTGTAGACAGGCTTGATCTTCTCGTTGATGCTGCTGGGACCAAGCTCCAGGAACAGTCCAGTAAGGGAAGAACAGCCAGGGCCACCGTTGAGCCACAGGACAACGGGGTCGTTCTTGGGGTCATTACGAGACTCGAAAAACCCTATAAAAGTTAGTATTCACCTATACACGACCAAGAAATCAGAGTGGAACTMACAGTAAAACAGATGCTTATCACTCTCGTTATCGTCAAGATAACCAGTGTACTGCTTCACACCAGGATCGATACCGAGAGCACTAGGATCGGTCTTCTTGACTCTCAGATCATAGGCCTCCAGCTTGCCATCAACCTCCCGCTCCTTCTCGCCGCTGGCTCCAGTGACCCAGACGCTCTGGACATCAGCACCACGGACGACGTGGTCCCAGTGGGAGTCAGGACGACGGGTGTGCTTCTTAGGCAGCGACAAGACAGGGTTATGATCCATGCTGTTGGGGAAGTGGCTAGCAACCTCATCCCACAGATGACGAGCCTCATCAGACAGAGTCTTGAGCTGCTCTTGGAGGTCATGAAGAGGCTTGGCCAGTGTGTCGGCACCCTTCTTGGGCAATCCGAGGATCTGCTGGAAGGGAGGAGCAGCCGCAGTGGCCGCTCCGACCAGCAATGTAGCTGGCAGAACTCTCATGATGACTTAGATCGGTTCCAAATCGACCTGGGATGCGTATTGATGATGGATGGGAGGATGGGAGGATGGAGTACCCTGGGGATGGGGGATGACCTGGCAGCGAGCTTATCAGTAACCGTATCAGAGAGAGCGAGAGACCACAGTAATGGTTCCCAACGTACAATTCACAGATAAACAAAATACAAGTTGCTAAGACAGTTGATGAACTCTCAACTGGCTTGATGATAGATGAAGAGGAGTAGAAGAGGAGATGGGGGATGGATGGATGAAGGCTGAAGCTTGATGGGCAGGGCCAATGACGACTGAATCAGCAGCGCTGATAGCGAGGCAAGGAGGCAGCCACTCACAGCGCGGTGCCTGGTGCGGAGAACCAGTCACATGTTGGGTCATCCGCCGCTGAGTCACGCGGGCGGCACGAGACCAGCGTCATCGCAAATTATAGAAGACGATCGGGGATGGTCGCATTTTTGGAGGGGCCGCAGGACTTTTTCACCACCAACAACACATTTGTTTCAATCTCATATATTAATATTATTTAGAATTTGATTGCAAAAGAGCCCAAGTGGCTCAGAGAATATAGACAGAATGCCTATCAACCAACCCTCCAATCAGATCAAATTTACCAATGTATCAATCGTCCGATTAAAAAAAGGTCCGTTTATCCCTCATGGATAACTAGTCCACCGCTAATCCTACAACCAGGCAAGAAAAGATTCGAGCTCGCGTGCTACAAAAACAAACTCCTAGAATACCGCTCCGGCGCCGAAAAAGACCTCGACAATGTCCTCCAAGTCCCAACAATCTTCCTCTCCGTCTCAAAAGCCCAAACCGCCCCCTCGGCCGAACTAACAAAAGCCTTCGGCCCGAACGTAACAACCGACGAAATCCGCCAAGAGATCCTCCGCAAAGGCGAAGTGCAGGTCGGTGAGCGCGAGCGCAAGGAGATGCTGGAGCGGGTGGAGAAGGAAGTCCTCGACATCGTCTCTGGGCGGCTGATCGACCCCAACACAAAACGGGTGTACACGCCGGGAATGATTTCCAAGGCACTGGATCAGTTGAGCTCGGCGAGCGGGCAGCAGCAGGTGCAGGAGGGGAATGGGACGGGCGCAGGGGATGAGAATGGGCCGGCGCAGCCGCGGAAGCCGCTGTGGACGGGAGTGACGCCGAATAAATCGGCCAAGAGTCAGGCGCTTGAGGCGATGAAGGCGTTGATTGCGTGGCAGCCTATCCCTGTGATGCGGGCTCGGATGCGACTCCGTGTCACTTGTCCTGTGTCGCTGCTGAAGCAGTCTGTCAAGGCTGCCGCGGCGCCTGGGGCGAACAAGGAGAAGGAGGCGCCGTCCGGCGGGGCGAAGAATAATAAGAAGGGTGGAAAGGGTGGCAAGGGCAAGGCTGCGCGGCAGCAAGACTCGGACGTGGAAGCTGGCGGCTCGGACACGGAGACGGCGCCTGCTGCGAAAGCTCCAACCAATGTCAAGGACAAGATCATGAGCTACATTGAGTCGGTGGAGAGTCAAGAAGTGGTTGGTGGTGATGAGTGGGAAGTAGTTGGGTTTGCTGAGCCAGGCGCCTTCAAGGGATTGAACGACTTCATTGGCACCGAGACCCGCGGAAGAGGTCGAGTCGAGGTGTTGGACATGGCGGTTACCCATGAGGATTGAGGGTCCCTTCTCCTTGATGTCCCTCATCCCTTTCACTGATTATTATTCTTAGAGTCGACTAAAAGTATATATCCTGCATGATTTCACTTGATGTCTGTTATGAGCGATGACAGGGCTTTGTAATGATTAGTCAAGAATAGCATTCTATAGAGATTGTAAAGTCAATGCATCTGGAAGTAAATGACTATGGTAGAATATGACCGACAGTGATATTTGCCTACGCATCGATCTAGAAGACATGCACTTGCGTACTCAATCCGGGGATTAGTCTAGGGAAATGTTCACAGTAACACCACAGCACCAGTGAAAAAATGCAGAAAGTAAAAGCCAAAACCACAACAGTCCACGAGAAAGAATCCAGTCATCCCGCCACAAGCAAGACAACATCCTTCCCCGGCCCAAGTTCCCTCGCAAGCCTAATTGTCCTCTCAACCGCATACCCCGTCATCGCTCCCGAGGCAATCCCCTCCTGATTCCGAAGAACGTCCATGCCTCGCAACGCCTCGACATCCGTCACAGCAACATATTCCACCCTGGCCGTCTCCTTCCAGTGCGCCAGTTCAGGCCCAACGCTGGGAAAGTCGAGATCGGGGGATATCGAGCTCGAATCAAGGATCTGGCCATGCTCGTCCTGAAGGAGATAGGTGCGGCATCCGTGCAGGACGCCGACGTCGCCGTGGGATAGGGGAGCTGCCTTTGCCGCCTCGATGCCAAGCAGTTTCACCGACGGGTGCTCGATGAACGGGTAGAACATGCCGACGGCTGCACTGCCTGATCCGACGGGGGAGACGAGGGCATCCGGGAGACGGCCACCGCTGGCGCCGCCGAACTGCGTTTTGATCTCCTCGCCAAGGATGGATTGGAAGGTGCGTGTGATGGTTGGAAGCGGGTGCGGACCGATTGGCCCACTCATGATATGGTATGTGGTGCTGAGATGGGCGACAGAGTACCGAAGGGCCTCGTTGACTGCAGCTCGGAGGGTCCCGCTGCCCGAAGACGCGCCCATGTCTGCGGTAAGGACTGTCGCTCCGAGTTGTCTGATCATGTCCACGCTGTCCTTCTGGTTGCTTGCGTCCCGGCTCCCCATGAGGATGGTGCATTTCATATTCAAGCGTGTGCAGGTTGCCGCGCAGACAATACCGTGCCTGGCTGAGCCGCACTCCATGACGAGTTCGGTCTTTCCGAGCCGCCGTGCGAGCAGTGCTTGACCAACGATGCTGCGGATATTGTGACTTCCATCCTGGTTGAGATCTTCCCGCTTGAGCCAGATATTCGCGCCACCAGCGATGCGTGTGAGATTTTCTGCGAGCCGAAGAGGGCTAGGACGGATACCGGGGGAGCTTAGAAACTCTCTCCAGAAGCCGTAGTCGGAGATGATACGGTCGAACGCCAACGTGAGCTCCTGCAAGGCATCCATCTGGGACTCGGGAGCAAAGCGGCCGCCAAAGGTGCCGAATTTGGTCGGAGATAATAGGATTGGCAGGCAGGGGAGAGGACTCGTTTTCCGTGCTGGAGTTTTATTAAGTGTCTCTCTGTTGACCAGGCGATTTGACTCTAAAGGTGAATCGATATGAACATGATGTAGAAGTAAGGAGGAAGGAACAGTCGTCCTCCCTTGTATAATGCTGAGATGATAGAGACATGCTGGACACATCGAGTGAGCATCTCCATCTTTGACTCTCTTGTTGCGTCTCTTGCTTCTGATTCTTGTCAGAGAAGGCTTGAAGGTGGCTGGAATAATCATGGTCAACAGATGTGCAATATCACGGATGCAACCAGGTGTAAAACAAGACAGTAGAATAGGAACTGAGATTTCAGAACTCACGCAGGTACTGAGAGATACCAATTGCCGTCCAGGCATTTATACCCGGGGCACCTCATTCTCACACCGACCTAAGTAACCCCCATCAGGCAGACAATCGGGCAAAAGCCGTGAGCTGGTCAAGACGGTGTACATCGAGCTCATGGTACTTTTGAAAGACACAGCGAGACCATAGACATATCAAACCAGACTCCACCAGGCCCGCAGACTCGTTGCAGCGTTGGCATGAACCAGGAGCCAGAATCCTCAAGAAGGTTCAGGACTACTATCCATGCATTCCTTTTGACAACCACGAAACAGGGACGCTCCTAGCAAGGATCTGCGCAGGGTGCTCGCGTTTGTTCAATCGATCACAAATCACAAGTATTTCATGGACGAAGTTCCAAGTAGATTGTCCCCACTGGCCACATTCGCCTGAGCAGGGCGACGCACCACGCGCAAGGTGACCAGGGTAAGGCATCCGGAAACCTGGAAGCTGGGACCGATGAACGCAGCCTAGATCACTTGTACTATGGCAACTTGCGGTGTGATTCGCCTGTGGTCCTTGACAGCTCAATGGCTACAGCCATGGAGTAGCTGCAGAAGCGCTCCGGCTTCAGTCTTCGCAGGACGAAAGTACGCGACCCAGGCGCTTGGGTACCACATTGTCATTGTGTTGAGGGTTGACCAGGTTGTCGGAGCAGGGGGAACCAGGGGAATCGACCCGATCGTAAAAAAAAAAAATCATATCGTGTGTGGTCTTAGATTGATGTGATTCCCAGCGATGTGGATACTGGGTTGTCGAGGAGTGACTATGAAGCCTGTGATTGCTTCAAAATCTTGTTGCTTTTTCGACGTAGATGTGATGGATCAAGTTATAGTACCTTTGCACTTGGGCAACTACTCCTTGAATCATAAGTGATTCTAGAATCGCAAGATTCGCAACAATGACTAACCCCTTCAAACAGCTCGATGTTGTCTTCTTCACCTGTCAATGTTGATGGATCCCGGGTTAGTACTGACCCGGTAGTCTGGCATACCAAATATAGATGCAGGGGAATCTGGCGACGGATTAATGATCGACGTGGAATTTCGATCTATCCATTATCATCAACATCAAGACCAGGTCGACGGCGATCTTCCGTCACCGACACGAGGCGACCTGCGAAGCTGCGAACTCAAGATCCGGATGCACTGTCCGCCATCCCMGTCTGCGTAGACAGCCGGCGCTAGGAAGAAGCATCCGGATCTCAGATCCAACGAAGTTAACAACTATAAATTTCAACTTATAAAGTTTATCTACCACGTCACCCCAGGCAGGCTCTCCCTTGAATAATTTGGCTAGAACCTCTTGTTCACCTGATGTCTCTCCTGCTGAGATAGATAGGTAGACTGACTTTTGATCTCGAATCCACTCAATATTTTGTGACGCTAGTTGGACGAGATGGGTTTCATTTGTTGCACTATTGTCTTGGCAGGTGATAAGGCGTGGATACCAACTAACTCGACAATTGAAAGTACGAGATAGATAGCTAGGGAATCCAACAGTCGGTTCAGAACAGCGGTGGATGAAGGTGGAGATGGTCAGATGGTGTACCGGAGGTCCTTTCCCCGTACCACTATTGCTACCCAGCAGAGGATGTGTGTTTCAAGACAGTACTTATGGCGTTCAGCGCACTTGGAAAACCAGCATTATCCACTCTAGGCAGATGTAGAGAAGATCAATTGTTTTAAATAAGTATGCATTTGATTCATCTAACGTCTCACATACAATACAATCTCGCATATGGCCGTCAAACCGCGAAGAAAGTCAGTCAATCCCGGCTCGGTAAATGAGACGGGCTCGGAAACGTCCATTACGGGTATTCGCTCAATCGCAATGACTGGAAAACAATCACTCCAACCGTACGCCTACAAGGCGTGAAAAGGTTGGGAGCATGCAAGGTAAACGCCGTTCCTCTCTAAAAGCACACCGTGCTTAGTTGCATCATTCTGAACTTTGACAAACAAGACCTAGAAAACGGCCTGGTATTCGAGGTCTCCGGTGAAAAGTAAGGTAGGTTGAAGGGAATTCGCACACCAGTGCGGGTGGAGAAAAGTCGTCGAGCATAAGGACAGTCGACAATAGACAAAAGGATCCGTCCTCTGGACGGAGAAGAATGGCAGTTGATGAAGGTACATTACGAGCAGATCTGAACGGCGTTCAACGCTCTACTCAGATCATCTGGTGAGAAAGGCATCAAGGTACCCTTTGTGTATGTTGGCGGCGGCGGTGACACGGCGCGATGGATCGGTGAGGTGTACCGTACCGACTCCTTGATTTGCGCAATGGAATCCATTCGAGCATCGTCAGAGTACAGAGTCATCGTCGAATCACTATAACTGCTCGATTCGACGGCTGTAGAAGACGACGATCCCGAAGATTCTTCCTGTCGACCCGGAGCGAATTCGTGGTGGGAAACAGTGGCGGAAGCTGGTCGTTGTCAGAACGTCGTTACGTGTATGCTTACGGATTGCACCAGCATGAATAGAGGGCACGTGTGGAAGGGAGGCAACAGCCACTTACAGTCAATCAATCCCACCTCTGGAGGCGCTGTCTCGCAGATCTGGTCTGGAGCCACGCCTTCGTCCTCACTGTCGCCATGACGCGGGTTCAAGTACTCCGATAATGTTGTACAGGGAGACAGCGGGGGGTCTAATGCGCGGGGGCGCTCGGCCTGCGCAGCCTCGAATGACCAGGCGGCCAATCTCTTTTGGTGTTCAGGATCGAAGGGGCCGCGAAATTTGGACGGCGGAATTTCACCGCGTTTGTAGTACTCGATCTTGATCCCATTGCCATTGCCATTGCCATTGCCATTTCCGTTGGATTTCGATTTGGAGTGGCTATTGGAACTCCGGTGGAACACCTTTCTGAACTTGTCTTTGAAGTTCATTTTGACAGAAAAAGCCAGGAATTGTAGAGGGTGTTGTAAGAAATTGGTGTAGTGGTGTTGTAAATAGGTGTTGAGAATAGTAGTAGTAGCCTCAATGCAGACCAGTCCCGGTGAGGGCACGGATGCGGGGGAGGGTGTGCAAGCACAAACTACGATCGACTGTAGTAAGAGACCTTTGGTTCATCGTTCGGTTAGATGAGGCTGGATTGGGGCAGGAGAGGCAAACTCCAGGAGGAAAAGAAAGAAGAAATGACAATTGAGGGGAAGAAAAGGGAGAGAAAGAGAAAAGGCGGGAGGAGAGACTATGGAGATGAAGATGGAGAGGCGGGTACGATGCCCTGGATAGGGTACTATGGAATCATAGATACTGGACTAAGGTAAGTTGAGTGACATACGGGACTGAGCAGATTAATTAAATAGAGATTGAGTGTGAGCATTATTAAATAGGTAATAGTTACCATCAGTTATGGCGCAGATAAGCCGTGGAACTGAAGGCGTAACATCTCGGGACCTAATCCGGTGAGGGCAGGAGACAGAAAGGCACACCGGCCATAGGTAGTCCGCATTTCCGTACGGACGGGGGTATCTAGTAGATTACAGAATTACCAGAAAATGTGGGGAGGCAAAACGAGGATCTCAGAGGAGGATACCTATGCAATAGTGATTCTTATTTGCTCTCGCAGAAATCTTACTGCAGCTGCAAACTTCCTGAGACTCGGGGCGTTGAAATTGCGCCGTTCTTGAGAGGGTGGGGGAATAGTGAAACCCACTTGGCAATGGCTCTGTGCGTCTGACGGGTTAGACATAAACGCCCCAAGCGATGGAATTGTTTGAGTACCTAGGAGTACTTTAGGTTTAAAGAGATCAGAGCCCATCAACCTTCTGGACAGCCTTCATGAATCATGATAACTATCGAAGGTAGACTCGGTAGGCGACTACAGTGATTGCTTTGGAGATGCAACCTCAAGCTTCCAGTTCCAGTTCTCTGAGTTTTGTTAAATTTCAAGGTGAACAAATGAGATTGCTCCGTTCGATGGTTGGCGCATCGAAGCCGATGTCAATCCGATCTCTTCCATGGGTGGCCAAAAACCAAGCGTGCCGTGTGTTCCTATCTCGCACGAAATTTACCTTTTGAGAGTACCGTATTTCTCCTCAACCAGTCAACCAGTCCTGGACCAAGGGTTAGCTTCTCCTCGGGTCAGTTCATCTAGTCAATTCGTTTTAGAGACAAATGGCCACTCTCGCCAAGCATTCCAGTGTTTCTCTGTGCCAGGGAGGTAACATTAGTATGTGACATTGTAACCATCCGAGTGCGAGAGTGGTGGCAAGCGCATTGATTTATGACAGCCATCTATTCTCTCTGCACAGATGTATTATACAGAGTACCTTATACTTGATAATGAGACATATTAATCGTCATAGAAAATACCTCACACATGAAAGACGAGTAGTGTTGAGTACGTAAGAGTACCTCTTTAGACGACTGGATACTTCCGCGGGCCTTAAAGGAGGTATGTAATAGGCTGGCGCTGCCCTTGTAGTCGCCCGTCCTGCAGCGAACAATTCCAGAATTACGGCCAAGACAGCCGGTCTGAGAGCCACCACCAACCAATCTACCATCTTAATCTCAACGATCCCTGATTGCCACCGGGATCAAAATGCGACATACATCATCTCGCTGAACTCTGTATGCTAGGCGTTTGTTCTGGATTCAAACCCCCCAGACGTGTGCCATCGTGACTTCGCGCGTACAACGTCATGCGAAGGAAAATGGGGCAAAGGGCCTCACCCAGGATAATCCATTCACTATACTCGGCGTAACGTACTCCGTCGGCCGTTCGGTCATAATACCTACCGTAGGCGGAGGTGATTCAGAGAGTGATTCAGAACCAGCGAATCAGTTCGATGGAATGTGGGAGGGCAATGTGCTCCACCGGAGTGAGTGATTTCATGTCTGGCCCGAGTGCCCCACTCGGCACGCTGTTTCCGGCGAGGCTTTTTCGCAGGTTGATGTAGTCAAACAGAAGTTCCTTATTCCATCAGCAAGGCCTGCTGGCCCAATGGTAAGGCGCTTGACTACGGATCAAGAGATTGCAGGTTCGAATCCTGCGTAGGTCAATTCTTTTTTTTTTTTGCTTTTTTTGCTTTATGTAAATTTCAAAAGGCTTATTTTCTCCACCGATCAAGTTCGTCGAAGTACAGAGGAATTCCGAAGTGAATTTTACTGATATTGGATTTCTTACCGCAAAGACCTGCAACCTTGCAGGCCAGACCAGCAATGACTTAACGGAAAGCGTCGGGCGCCCTAGACTGCAATGCATGATGTCAGCCCAGCATTGCCAGTCTGCCTTGTAGAGAGGTACATACAGGGTACAGACGGGCCACGACGTTTGCCTTTCTAGAAGACTCCTCGTAATTGCTTCTTCTGGTTTGGATGCCTTGTTTCGGGCATTCACACATGAGATGGCAGAGCCAATACTGTTCTCTGCCAGCCTGAGGGAATCGCCTTTATGGGATGAGGTTTATAGAAAGGCGTACTTCTCGAGTCTACCTCTCACTTGTCCTCTGAAGCCCTTTAATGATGTTGACCATGTGGCGAGCCATACTTTGGATGACAGGATGGTTTATTCAGTCATGTATCCGGGGTCTAGATCGCCATGGTCGCCGTGGATGATTTCTGTGTTTGCTATGCTCACTAAGATGGCTGTATATATTTTTCCTTTTGGGTCAATGTCCCCAAGTATATCTCTCGTGGAAAACTCATCACTCATCCTCATCCGGGTTCCCCGTGCATCTACTCGAAGAAAGACCGAAAGCATACTCACCTAGCACCAGTGTTAAGACTCTAGAGATGACTCCTCGTCAAATATGTGCGACCTCCGGAAGCAGCCTGTGGCTGGCATATTACTCTCCAAGTTGCGGTCTACTCAGGAGGTAGACTTTTCCGCGAGCTAATACATGCACTTACAAAAAATATCTAATACATCTTATATTATAACCAGTAGCACTCAAGCATATAATGCTTGATGTTGATGTTGATACCTCTCCATTCAGTAGTCTCTATAACCACAACATCACCATCCGAAATAGGCAGTTGATCAGGTGCTCGGAACAACCTTGATCCGCTGTTAGGGCTGGGAGTGAAACCGCCCTAAACCCCTTGAGCAGCTGCAGGCACACGACCCGCGATCGCCGGAAACGGCTTGGCTGTCGTCGTTTCGAAGCTCTTGTCGAACACAGCAAGCATGCACTTCATAGCTATAGATACTCATAGTTCAAGATCCACGGAATTAGAAAAAGGAAGGAATAATGGCATTGATCAGCGAGCAATTGACTAAGCTGTTTCTATAATAATCTTAAATGATTCAAATGCGTCACCACCAGGGAGAGCTGTTTCGGACCCGGATTGAACCGTGGCTGAGACCAGCCATCCCCTCGCTGATACGGTAGCCAGAATAAGCAAGATGATCATCATTACTGCAAGGACCTGCGAATAATATAGCATTAGCTGTACCGTGAAAAGTCCTCGGCCCATGAGTAGTGGGTGCTTGCGACGCAGCTCATGTGACCGTTGCTTTGAACTTCTCTCATCTTCCAGCGCGCTGAACTCCGATCCAGTACAAGACCATCTCTGCTGCTAGTAGTTCAATTGAACCCAGCACTGATACTGCCATAGCTAACTCTCGAGGTGGCTAATTCTGAGTGAGTACCTAACCATTGCAATGCGCGACTGCCTCAACACCCGGATTAACCTTCCCCGATGTCGATTAGACGTCCCGAGGGGAAACCAAACATCCCAGAATTGCCGTCGCCTTCCTAACTATCTTCAACAACTCCCTACCCTAAGCTCGACATTCAGCTGAGTTTCGCGCCATCTATCTGTCGATTTTCGTCTCTTATCGCGCCGCACAAGACAGTAAGTACCTGTCTTTTCTCGACTCCGACTGCACTCCTAGCTCCGCCCTTGGTGGCATAATTTTCTGACATTGTCCCCCAAGGTCCCACAGGTCAAGGACTCAAATCATCATGCCCAAGAAAGGTGGAAAGGGAAAGAAGGGCAAGGGTAAGGGCGGTGGCGGCACCGCGAAGGCGGCTCCCACCGTCCAAGAGCCTGTGTAAGTTGCGCAAGTCTCCATCCGTTACACAAATTAGAGGTTCGCCTCAGGATTCGCAGCAGAACTGACCGCAGCCAATTCTTAATAGAACCCCCGGCCACCAAGTTGAAGATGTCGTCAAGGGCGAAGGCGAAGGCGAAACCACCGAAAGCCTCGGCCCCGGCACTGCTACCAATGTCCCCTCCGCTGCCCCGCCTCAGGCCGCCGAGACAGTCGCCGCGAGTGAAAATGGGGATTCATCGAACGAGGTAGTAGACGAGCTTAGGAACCCCGGCACCGCCAAGAGGTTCTCATTGTCGGAGCACCCGGGTGACGCAAAGGGGCGCATGCCGTCTTCTTTGCCCGATAGGGGAGAAGCAGCCGAAGCAACCGAGAACACCCTGCAGGGTGCTGTGGGCAAAACCGAGGCTTCGAAGGCGGGTCTGGTTGGATCATTGGACGCAGGTGATGGCGAGGGACAAGGTAGGTGTTTCTTGGGTTTGTAAGCGAGGCAGCTAGGCTCACACAATTTTCAGCCGTATTGCCTGATACGGTCGCCAAAGAATCCCGGTTGACGGCTCCTACGACGGCCCCCGAGACCACCATTCCCGAAGCGACTGCTACCGAGGCCGCCGCTCCCGTCATCACAGACGCCAACGCTCCAGTGTCTGAAGCGCCGGCGGAAACAGCACTGCCAGAGAGACTCAAGGAGAAGGAGACTGCTGCGGCCGAACCGACAGCCACGTCTCCGTCCGACAGTGCGGACTTGACTGGCCATCCAAAGCGCCCATACGAGAGCAGCCTCTTCCACAAGGACGAGGACCACAAGCCTCCCAAGATGGCCAAGGTCGAGGACTCCGAAGCCGCCCCTGCCGCCGCAGAAACCAAGGCTGCGGACTTGCAAACCGAGGTGCCAAGCAAGTCGACGGTGCAACCCCTGGTTGTCCCAGGGCTTGGTGCCGAACCCACAGACAAGCCCGTCTCCGATGCTGAAATTCCTCAGAAGGCCGAGCCCGCAGAAGCTGTTGCCCCGACCACCGCTCCTTCGGCTGCCCAGGCTGCTGCTTCCACCACGTCCCCTGTCGTTCCCTCCGCAGTTGCTGCCGCAGGCGCAGGAAGCGAAGCCGACGCAGAGGCCAGGCAGAAGCAGGAGGCTAAAGAGACTCTTCAAGCTTTCACCGAGGGAAGGGTCCCCGCAGCCAAGGAGCCCCAGCAAGAGTCTGAGGAGAAGGCTCAGGAGACTGCGCCCGTCAAGACGACTCCGGAGACTCCTACTAAAGCCAAACCCACCGCCGCTACCGCTGCTGCGGCCGCCGCCATGAGAGGAAAGTCGACTGCTTCGCCGGCACCTGCCACCGAAGGCGCCGACAAGACAGAAGCTGAGCCCACGGAGAGTCAGCCCGAGACTCAAGGTCAGGTCCCCGCCGAGCCTGCACGGGGAGAAGAGGCGGCTGCAGAGGAGACTCAGCAGCCCGAGACCACCGGCGCTAAGCAGTCGCACGAGGAGGCACAAACGGCCGTCGACAAAGCTCAAGAGGCTAAAACCGAAGCCGCCAAGGCGGACAAGCGCAAGAGTGGGTTCTGGTCGTGGATTAAGCGCAAGGTCAAGGGGACTTGATCGCTTGCCTTACCTTGGCGACTATTCCTATATACCTATATACAAGTACACAAGACAGAAGACTGCCGAAGAAAATAAAGACCAAAAAAAGGCAAAAACGCGACGAAAATAAAAGGATACAGATTCGAACTTTTTTTGTCTGCACGAAAACGGATGATGATTGATGTATTGAGTCGGGGCCAGTGCATCAGGCTGTGTATGATATGGATGGGACAAGATACCAATGGGTCTGGGCTGGAGGCATTGATCTGAGTTGCTTTGACTGATTGATTACTGCTGCAGGGTCTTTACACCCTCGGCTGTTTTGAGATTGATTACAAGTTAATGTTAATGGAATGAGTTCTACCATAGCTGTCCCCTATTAGATACACCGCTCATTTCGATATGGAATGGAGTCGGTGGAGGGAAGTTGATAACTTGAAATGAATTGGAATAGCCTGGGTCACAGTGGATACCTACTTGCACAATACTCTCAGTGGAACTATCCTATGGGGTTTCTACTAGGAGCTCTGCTACCTAGCGAGGTACTTAGTGTAATAATCTTGATGCTGCTGTCATCATTGCAACCACAGTACCCCACTTGGTGGCTGGAAATGAGCAGCAAACATGATTCCCGCTGGACTGACGTGGATCGACACGACTTCTTTCCGACTCTCTTGATCATCCTCGTTCTATCCGGTTCAGGAGCTTGCGTATCGACAAAGTAGTACTAATAATTACAGTGCCCTTGAGATTCAGTTGCTCTCCTCCAACCGGTTTTGTCTCCTCTCCTCAACTGTGGAAGTGGCTGCGATGAGACCCAGTTTATCCACTTGTTCCTTGACCCTCTCCCCTGGCCAAGCTTTTCTAAGCTTTGGATACTCTGACAACTATTTTGGTCATCGATCAGTACTTATGCATTGGGATTGACTGTGGAGGGGTGGATCCAATGAGACATGCTCAGCTCTCCATCTCGCCCAGATGACGGACTGACTGGTTGAGATTATCTCTCACTCACTAGCAGGATGAAGGGCTTCTCTACTATCCAAACTCAGGATGCTATTATCCGATCCACTGATGCTGTGGTGCCACCTTTCATGCACTCGTACAGAGGAGCAACACTACTGACAGCCACCCCCTCATCTCCCCCTGATGATAATGATGACGGCCCTCAATCATGGAGCCATCCATCTCTTGGTTCCCGCCTTGTTTTGTTTACTGATCAGTGCTGATCTCTCAAATTATTAGATCCAAAAATAGGTAGATAAATATTAACACGTTGCTTTCCCCTACAGCTCCTGCATCTGTCCTACTTCCTCTTGCATTTTTCATCTGTTCCAAGTACCTGCATCCGCATCCGCATCCGCATATCCCCGCATAGAAACCCAATATGGTCCACCTTGCTACGGTCCAGCGCGACAGCGAAAATGTCGAACCCCTCGTTAAACGCGTTGATTCTATCCAGCTCGAAACCAACGAGGATGATGGTTTCTACTCCACTGTGTACGGTACTCGGTTTGCGGCGGAGCAGCTGCCCCAGACTGAGATGCCCGAGAAGGAGATGCCCCGTGAGGTCGCTTACCGCATGATCAAGGATGAGCTTAGTTTGGATGGAAATCCTATGCTCAAGTAGGTTGATTTTTCGAATGCCCTGTGGTGCATAGCTGATTCTCTGTAGTTTGGCTAGTTTTGTGACGACGTACATGGTATGCGGGCTACACCTATTTGTTGACCGCAGCTAATTCGAGCAGGAAGATGAAGCCGAGAAACTCATGACCGACTCTTTCAGCAAGAACTTTATCGATTACGAAGAATACCCTCAGTCCGCCGAGATCCAGAACCGGTGTGTCAACATGATCGCTCGGCTGTTCAACGCCCCCATCGACAGCGAGGACGAGCACCCCGTCGGGACCTCGACCATTGGCTCCTCCGAGGCCATCATGCTGGGCACGCTGGCCATGAAGAGACGGTGGCAGAACAAGCGCAAGGCCGAGGGCAAAGACCACACCCGCCCCAACATCATCATGAACAGCGCCGTGCAGGTCTGCTGGGAGAAGGCCGCACGGTACTTTGACGTGGAGGAGCGCTATGTCTACTGCACCGAGGACCGCTATGTCATTGATCCCAAGCAGGCCGTTGATCTGGTCGACGAGAACACCATCGGCATCTGCGCCATCCTGGGAACCACGTACACGGGCGAGTACGAAGACGTCAAGGCGATCAACGATCTCCTGGTTGAGCGCGGCCTGGACATTCCTATCCACGTGGACGCCGCCAGCGGTGGCTTTGTTGTCCCATTCATCAACCCCAACCTGCTGTGGGACTTTCGCCTGGAGAAGGTCGTTTCAATCAACGTGTCCGGCCACAAGTACGGCCTTGTCTACCCCGGCGTGGGATGGGTCGTCTGGCGATCGCCCGAATACCTGCCCAAGGAGCTGATCTTCAACATCAACTACCTGGGCGCCGAGCAGGCCAGTTTCACGCTCAACTTCTCCAAGGGTGCCTCGCAGGTCATCGGCCAGTACTACCAGATGATCCGGCTGGGCAAGCGCGGCTACCGCTCGATCATGGTCAACATCACGCGCATCGCCGACTACCTGGCGCAGCAGCTGGAGCAGCTGGGCTTCATCATCATGAGCCAGCGCCGCGGCCACGGACTGCCCCTCGTGGCGTTCCGCCTCCCTGCAGACCGCGACGAGCAGTTCGACGAGTTCGCCCTGGCGCACCAGCTGCGCGAGCGGGGGTGGATCGTGCCCGCGTACACGATGGCGCCGCACAGCAACGAGCTGAAGCTGATGCGGGTGGTTGTCCGCGAGGACTTTAGCATGAACCGGTGCGACGCTCTGCTGGCGGATATCAAGCTGGCGCTGAAGACGTTGAGCGATATGGACAAGGCCATGCTGGAGAAGTATACTTTGTAAGTGCTGACATCCTTAACCAACCGGGCTCTACTGACGAGATGTGTCTAGGCATGTGCAAAACCATGCTGTTAACTCGCACAAGTCCAAGCATACCCATGAGCACTACAAGAACGAGAAGCATTCCTTGCAGGGCAAGACCGGGAAGACGCACGGAGTTTGCTAGTCGATTGATACTCGGACCGCGCAGGAAGCGGTAGATAGTGATACGACACGAATGATACTTCCACTCATTTCTTGACATAATCGCTTGTCTCTACTCCATAACTAAGCTCTAGTTTCATATCTTCCCTTGGCTAATGGAATAATGACCCACCCTGATGCAACCATGCCCAGGATGCATAACTAGTGCGCGCAGCGGACTACACATGTGCTAACAACGAGCCATTAGCCTGTAGACCGAATAGAGACGGGCATGGCCTTATATCCTCATTTCCCATCTACACAGCCCTCACTCTGCCAAGTAAACCTGACCTCACCATCAAGATGACCTCCCAATCCGCATCCGAGTTCGTCATCGCCATCCTCTGCGGCCTGCTAACGCTAAACATCTACAACCTCCTCCCGATCTTCATCCTCATCCCTCCATTCCTCGACCTTCTCGTGTCGGCGCCGCTCTATGTCCTCACACTACAGGGCCTGATCTCACTAGCCGTCATCCGCCTGTTCTATATCGCTACGCGCCGGCCCTTCCGGCTCAATTGTAGGAGAACGCTCGTCCTGTTGCTCCTGTACGCGGTGTTTCCCGTCCCGAGGCTTTCTGTCTGGGTGTATGATACGGTCGTGCCGAGTATCTGTGCACGGAAGGGGTATTGCAAGGTTTGTCCTGCTGATGCCCGCTAGAGTTGTAATGCGGATGCTTACAGCAATCTACAAATAGAAATAGGTTAAGCGAGGACTCCTCGTTTGCCAACTACAGTGCAATTGCTTTCCATTGCTTCGCTGTGCGCTGGAGCAGACGCTCACGGGTTTGGAGTGAGTCAACGTATACTAGTAGAGCGCTGACCGACTTCGAATGGTGATGGATCTGTCCACCAATTGTAATGAGCTGAAGGAGTCGACGACCGGTCAAGGTGTTTAAAGGCAGGAGACGAAGAGGGAAAGGGAAAGACGCTGGGAAAAGCATGAGATGCTACTAGGAGGCTATTGGTCAATTTCTATAGTAACTATATAGGCAGATAGCATCAGGATCCAGTACTTATTCAGGGAACGAAGCTTTCTACCCGAGGAATCTGCCAATACTACCATGGATGCCTCTGCCAAGGGCTTCCCTTATGTATCCTTGGAAGAAAGCTGTTGTACAACCTCATAGAGAATGGTGATGATGCTGCTGAGTGACGTCATGTATACGAGACTGCTCAAGGTGACTTGGGTCGATAAATATTCATTCGCTGTAATTCAGCTTCCCGATCAATTATAATCCTACTCAAGCTAGATAGGCCGGCTCAACAGTCCCAGTATGAAGCGTCTATCCATCGATCCCCGTCAGAACATCCCCCCAATTCGGGATTCGCCGGCTGCTTCTCTTCCAGTAAGTCTTCCCGAGGCGACAAACGTCAAGACCAATCCTGCCCGAGCCGGAGAAGAAAATGCATCGGTCTACTTCGTTGGAACGGCTACGACAATCTTGTCAGTAGCTTCTTGCCTCATGTCAATGAGATGCTAATCTGGATAGTGAATGGGAGGGGATGAGGTTGATGACCGATGTTGGTTCATCCTTCGATCACAAATTGGCCACAATTGACAAGATAGCCAAACTTCCTTCATGCGGGAGACCATGTCCATCTTGGTCCTGGGGTGACTGCTACCCGTCGAACAAATCCTGCAGTTGACTTGCACGAACTGCCTCGAATCGACTTGGTTCTTTTGTCTCACTATCATGGGTATACTATACTGCCTCCAGCGACCACTGCATAGGACTGACCATTGCAGAGATCATTTCGATCAAAAAGTCGAGGCATCTCTTCGGCGAGACTTGCCCATCATCACCACAAGCCATGCCAAGTCCATATTGACCTCCAAGGGGGCAGACTCCTTCCAACAAGTGTTTGATCTCGAGCCATTTGAGCAGATGATGGTCAATGTCCAAGGCGACAGTTCGCGAACCAAACAACCGCACATTCGAGTGACTGGCATGCCAGGCAAACACATCCCGACCAACAAGGTCGTGGAGAAATTGAACGAGTTGGCGGCGGCAGTAAGCATTCCCTGACATTGCAATGGCATTGACAGTGAACTGACAATCAAGATTCCCCCCACCAACGGATGGATGGTTGAATTAGGCTATGGCAGCACCGAAACTACGCAAACCGATTTCGAGGTCGGCTATCGCATCTACATCTCTGGCGACACGCTGATGGTGGATGAGCTCAAGGAGATCCCGCGGCGGTTCGCGGACCAGAAGATCGACTTGATGCTCATCCATCTTGGAGGCACGACGGTGCCTCATCCGAACTTGTGGCCGCTGACGATGATGGTGACGATGGATGCACAACAGGGCGTGGAGCTGGTGCGCCTGATCAAGCCTGATCTGACCATTCCGATCCACTATGATGATTACAACGTGTTTGCGAGTCCGCTGGAGGACTTCAAGATAGAGATGCAGAAGGCGGGATTGTCAGGGCAAGTGGTGTATCTGGATCGCAAAGAGGCTTATCACTTTCAAGTGAGAGCGACCTGAGCTTCTTGAAATGAAGCAGCGATGATCTCGTTTTGTTGATCCTGGATCTAATTGGATATCGTCGGATGATTAGCCTTGTTCTTTGAGAGCATCGCCTCGTGTTCGGTTGATTATTTATAGCATCAACAACCAACAACAAATCCAGTGATTAATCTTCCATCGATTCCAATATTCATTCCTCGTCGTCTCCTCATCAGGATTTCTGTTTACCGTACGTGGTTGCAGCTGTGTTGTTGTTGATGCTTCATCGCCCCTCTCCTCTCCTCCCCGCCCCCTTTTCGTCCTTTTTGGACGATTATCGCGCCCATCCCACTCTCCATGCCTTTGTTTCGCAAAAAGCACAAATCCCCGTCGCCTGCTGCATCTCCCGCCTTTCGTTCGGTCGAGCAACTGACCGTACCGACCGTCCCCCCTCCGTCCACCGCTTCGTCGCCTCGTGTTCCTCCTGAAGATCTTGCGTTCTATCAGCGCTTCTCCGACGTACGGCTCCCCACTTCTCCTGCGGATCCGCCAGACAACTCGTATTCTCAACATCATCAACAACAACAACAAAACCATCATCAGCATCATCCCCATCCCCATCAGCTATATCATCAGAATCATCCCGATCATCAGAACCCTTCGGAACATCCACCTCCGTATCAGACTACAATCACTCGGTCGCAAAGCCATCACTCTCCCACTCTTCTCAACCCGGTACTTGCGACCCCCGCTTTACCAGCTGCTACTCACTTCATCGATGCTGACCCTCCCGACCAGTCCAACGTGGACAGGGCCTCTGAGCAACCGGCTTTGGCCCCCAAGGCTCACAATAGCAATAAACAGGATCCACCACAAAAGTCCCGCAGGAAGCTCTTCGGCCTACATTCCTCCTCGTCGTCCTCGTCGACAGGCTTCTTGGAACGCAGCTTGTCCGTCAAAGGCACTGCCTCGTCGCAATCGTCCCGCCAGCGACGGCATCAGCAACAGCTATCGCTAGACACCCACCGAACGCATCGCGATCGAGATCATCCGAAGAGTAACCGAAATATCAATTACCATTCCTCGTCCGAGACAGTGCCCGAGGACCATGTGGTAGACCCTAACCCGGGCAGCTCACAGTCTATCCTCATGCAACAGGACACGGCATCAGCTCATCAGCGACCTCCCCGTACCCCGCAGAACCCGCCTTCCATTCAACGATCCAACACCGATCCTAATCTTTTCGAGAAGCTATACAATTCCTCACCTGTCGACTCGGCTTCCAGGCAACCTGTCGACCCTTCCCAAGTCATCCCCAACCAGTCACAAACGCATCTGCAGCCGCAGCAATCGCCCGTTTCCCAACTTCAAGTGGAACCGCCGTTGAGTGCACGACCTCCATCGCGACAGTCCTTGGGGCCGCCCTCTCCGCTGCCCCCGTTCTCCCATCAACCGGATCTGCACCCACCCCCCGGCCACCAGAGCGGCATGGCTGCATCGTCCGACCGCCCGGCCGGTCCCCCGCAGACGCAGCCCCAAGGTCACCCGTCCTTCCAAGGTGGTAGTCAGCAGAATGCCACAGAGTCGGGGCGCAGCACACCCCCCGTCAGTTCGAGCAGAAGAGATGATCTGGGCGAGATCGATGTGCGAGCTTTGCTACAAAAGCATGATGAACTCCGTAAGATTTACGCCCCAGCACGCCCCAGTCGACAGACATACTGACAGGATTGTAGAGGCCAAGTACTCCAAAGTGAAGCGATACTATTTCGAGAAAGACGCTCAGGTGCAGCAGCTGCAGAATACTGTGGCCCATCAGCGCATGGCGGTGTCCCGAACGGTCCTCGATGACAACGAATATGTAAACCGATTCGTGCGGCTTGACGGCGCCATCAAGGATCTGGCCTTTTCCATTCGAAGAGACTGGAAGAGCTTGCCGACCTGGTTAGCTGGCCACGTCAATGAGGACGCACACGCAACCGGCATGAAGGAAATGACGGCCATTGGCCGCGCGACGATGAGCCGATGGCTGGTGGAAGAGATCTTTGAGCGGCATTTCCATCCAGCACTGGAACCGAACTTGAGCATGCAGCTGAAGAGCATCGAGATGAACCTGCGTCGGCAACAGACCAAGACCTACACGGACGAGGATCGAGAGAACGCGATCGCGCGGATCTCCAACTGGCGGCGAACCACATTCGACGGCCTCACGGATGCTCTGCAAGGCAAAGCCGCGGAGGAAAACCGGGCGCAGCTCATCAACCACTTGGTAGAGAAATTCGTCGCATGCCTGGAGATGAACCTGTGTGTACCTCCGCCGGCGGGGCTCGAGAACGGGGCACGGATGATCGTGGAGAACGCAGTGAGCATCTCAGAGAAGATCCCGCTGGAGTCGCGCGACATCTGTGTCGAGTACTTCATGCCGGGGACGCTGGTCAACGAGACCGTCATGAAGATCGAAGGGGGCCTGCCGCCGCTGACGAATGTGAAACAGCCCCCCGAGATGCCTCCTGCGCGAGGCTCTATCGAGCACGAGGGTGCTCACGATGGTTTTGTCGAGGATGTCGACGGCGAGTCCGTGCCTCCATCGGGCGGTAGCAACTCGATGGACGGGGCAGCAGGGCCGGGGTCCACACCCGGGCGCGAACAGCGCATGAGGTCGGTGTTCAACACGTTGATGGGCAAGCGGCCCGTCCCCGCAGTCGAGGCGAGCGTCGGCGGCAAGGAGATGAAAGAGCCGGTGGAGGAACGAAGCGGCGGCCGGATCCGATTTGCCTCGTTCCTGAGCGCAGAGGTACGCGGGAGAGGGCCTACGAATGTATTGGTCAAGGCGCCTGTATATTTGATATGACGTATGAATTGACGACCTAATTATGATAATCCTACAAAGTTCACTTCGTCAACTAAACCTAAGCTCCATTACGCAATTTTATCGTACTCGCCCGTTAGTACGGAGGAGGGCTCAGGTCCAACCCGTCGACCGTCAACTTGAAGGCATCGTTGCGCGCATAGCTTCCCGCGAGGTCCATATCCAAGCGGCCGCGCTCACAGTCCTCCAGATCAATCTCGGCCACAAGCAGCCCATCCCCGACCGCGTTCCCATCGGCATAGGTCCCGGCCCCACGAGCCGTCACCGCAGAGTCGGGCGCATCATCCGCAGAGACCTCCCAGATGGGGCCGGCCAGCACCTCACCCTGGCAGCCGACAATGCACGATCCCCCGCGGCAGACAAAATCATCGCCATCTGCATATCGCCGTCAGCATGTTAGCCATGTTTTATTCTAGTCAGTAAGTGACTTACGAGGAACACCGTCAGCGGCAAGAGCAGCAGCCGGAGGAGCCGCCACCGGCGCCTCCGTCTCGCCCTCCGCCGTCTTCTCCCCATCGGGCCAAACGATCTCATGCGGCCCCTCGGCCGTAATGGAATGCTTCTTGCGGTGCGCCGGCGACCGGCTCTGCGTCTGCAACTGCATCTGCGATTGGGTCTGTTGCGCCCCAGGCGCACAGGTCACCCAGTCGGGCAACTCGTTATACTTTACGCACTGGTTCGCGGAGAGCACAAACGCGCGGCCCTCGCAGCCAACCGTCCGCATAAGCGCCAGCCAGGTATCGCGCGCGTCGGCCGTGGGGGCAAGATAGATATTGACGTTCTGGGCGTAGAGGCTCTGTCTCAAGAGAGGCATGTAGTTCTCCCAGCAGATCGCTGCAGCGAGAGTCACACGGACGCCGTTGAGGTGTGTCGTGACGGCTTTGAGGGTGGATGGGGAGCCTTGTGCCCAGATGAGGCGCTCTGTTCCTGTCTACCAACCGTTAACTCCCCACTTTGCACACCGGTAGAAACGAATGAAGAAGAAAGGGGAAGGGGAAATACAGGCATAACCTTCCTCCTCTTCCCGAGACACCCACGCAGGGGATCCACATAAACAGCAGCGCAATACAGACTCCCGCCCGCGCGCTCAATAACCCCCACAACGAGAAACACGCCCGTCTCCCTCGCGACGCGCTCCAACTCCTCCCTCGTCCCGTCGCCGCGCTCGCTCCGCCCCTCCGCAACAGGCAACCGCCGATGAACCCAGTCGTCGCCGGCACCCGCAGGCGTATCGCCCAGATCCACCGCCGAGCGGAAATAAGCCAGGAACTGGTCGCGGCCGTGCGGGGCGCGCGAGCCTATCGCGCACCCGAAGGAGCAGGTGCGCGGGTATCCGCCCAGATAGGCTTCGGGGAAGAGGAGGAGGTGCACGCCGCGGGTGCGGGCGTGGTGGGCGATGCGGGCTAGTGCGGAGAGGGTGGCCTGTGTGGTTTTGTGGGTGCGGGCTTGCGCGACTGCGACGGTGATTTTGGAGGGCATCTTGTTGCGCTTGTTTTGCTGCTGTCGCGGGCTGCGGTGTGTTGGACGGTGTTGGTGGTGATGGAGGTTGTGGTGAGGGGAAGGGTTTATACGGATCTGTGAGTCAATGATTGTGGGGTACTTCGTATAGCGGAGGCAGAGCAAAAGCCGAGTCGAGGTGCGGGATCTGGTCTTCAGAATTATTTGTGAGTGAATCTGAGCTTTCCCGAGTTAGTCTGAGCTGTACCTCTCTAGATACCTCGTGTACGTAAACGAAGTCAAGATGGTACCTTAGTTGATAAAGTTGGTGATGCAACATATGATGACATCATCACCCTCATATCACATGTTTATACTTTATACAATGCATCCTGTCATGTATGTAGATTCATTGACCTATACTTACAGTCTGAGTACCCTAAATACACTTGATGATCCTATGTACCAAATTATGGATCAAACGGAAACAGTCAACCCGACGCATTCAAATCGCTAGCAAACCATGAATGCAACAAGCCCGGGTATACGCGCGCTAGAACAAGCAGCAACAATAAACCGAAATCAGATGCTGAGATAAATCTTGCGATGGGAGAAATCATTCTTTTCAAATCAAGCATGGAGTCGGACGTGTCGCGGTCATAGGCCAGCCTAGACCCTCGCACCCATGGCGTTGGCGGCCTGCTGCAACACACGAGGCCAGCGCGAGATGAACTCC